CTTATAAAATACACATACATACATTCTTGTTTCTATGTTACTATAGATATTTGTGCATTGTTTGCTAACGTTTCTCTACAACCTGTTCCCTTCAACACTTGCAGGGTTCACTGTCTTCTGCTTTCTCCCTTCACAAACATCCGGTCTTGCTTCCTGGTGGGGGGTGGGGGGGATGGGACATTTACAATAGAGAAGGATTTAATCTTTCCCATAAGAGTGACACTGCCTGTTTGCCTCTCCAGTGGCCTCTGCTTTGGGGCTAGAGGGTTAGACAGGATGGAGAGGAACTGTCATCCAACTCTGATTCTCTAACAGCGCTAAGACATGCAGGAAGTCGGTTCGAGGCCGTGTGTCGAATACAATGTCAATGTGCGCAAACGGACTGCCCGTTTGACTGCTGTGTTGTCCCGCACTCTTGAACTTCGTCCTGAGCCTCTCCTCCACTCACACTGTAACTGTTGTCATGGTTGGTCTTGGGTAGGTGGTGGTAGTAGGAGGGAGTACGACCGTCTTCTGCTAGAAATAGACATATTTCACAAAAGAAATCATTCAGTGTTTGGCTGGCCAGGGCAGCATTTCCTATCGCATGACATTTCCTATCGCATGACTCCCAGGCAGTTCCAGAATCCAGATATCTTGGTCTATTCTGTTTGAGGGGAGCTACTGTTTGACTGCTGAGTGGCCTCCTGTCTTTGAATGGGAAAATACTAATCTTCGTAAGAGATATGTGTACCTCACGCAACACATACATTTCCTGGGGGAAATGAGCGTGTACTCTGTCTGGCTCTCCACTGCTCCCGGGATCCTCCTCCGTCTTCCAACCTCTCCATACGATACTTTCCTCTCTTTGAGGGGTGCCTGTTGGTCTGCTATCTGGTACTGCATTGTTGTCCATCGTCCTCTTCCGCTTCCGTCTTGGATCCTTTGGCAAGGAGGAGGACACTTTAAGACAGTTTGTATGGAGGAGTTACAGTTTGTCTGCTCTGAGGAGGCCTGCATTTTGTAGGTTGAGGTTTGCTCTCCGGTGTTATACCTGGCGGGATTCACCCTCCTTTATGATCCTACTTTGGAGTGCTGTCCTTGCTTCAGCAATCTGTTGTTGACTTTTGTTCTGTAGCCAGCAACTGGCTGCGTGCTCTGTCCTCATCAGCCTTCTGGTCCCTCCTTGAGGAGACTTTGTTTAAAGGGTCTCTTTCAGGACTGCCTGCCTGATTGTCTGCTGTGTGGTGGTGTGCCATTCAGGTCTCCAGACATTCTCTCAAGGGCTTGCTTTCCTCCTCATTCGTGCTGTAACTGCATCATGTCGTTAATAATAATAATAACTAATAATAATAATAATAACAATGAAACTTCATTTATACCTTGCTACCATCTCCCCAAGGGACTCGGTGTGGCTTACATGACGCTGAGACCACAATACATAATAAAAGTAATAACAACAAACAATGCAAAACAATTGGAAAAAAATTCATAAGCAAAAAATAAGCAATAAACATGAACAATAGCACAACTTTGACTTTCATTCTGTAGTCAGGCCGCGTGCTCTGTCCTCATCATCCTTCCAGTCCCTCCCTGTGGAGACAGACATTTCTTAAAGGTTCTCTGTCAGGGCTGACTGGTTGTTTGCTGCATGGTGGAGTGCCATTCAGGCTTGCAGTTCTGCTGTAACTGCTTGACCTTCCTTGATGCTGTTATCGTGACACTACACCCAACCCACGAATCAAGGAGGGGGGTTACTATTTATTTGTCACTTATTTAATTATTTAATATTTACTGGGAGTATTTGGAATATGTACGTACAAAACCTGGCGGTACCTTTGTTTATTAAAGTCTTCTTTTCTTTGAGTACTAATACTTACGCTGTTGCGTTCTCTACACCCCGGGAAGGACTCGTAGGGGTGCCCGTTTTACTGCTATGTGTCCTCCAAAAGTACTCGGGAATCGTAGTCACAACTTGGTTATCGCACAAAGGTGTTTACATCCCTCTATTTTCTCAGTGCACTTTGTTAAGTTATTGGGGGACTCAAAAGGGGGGTGGTTTCCCATCTCTTTCTGGGATGTCATCTCCACAGTGGTTGGTGACTTGACATCTGCTCTTTCCTGCAACTCCAGGATGGGATCTGGGTTCCTTGACATACATGAAGTTGACTTGGTTCCTTTTGTTACTTAGGATGACCATCCAGTCACTCTGGAGCTTCTCTGGAGCACTTGGGATAATTTTACCACAGAGCACTTTGAGGCAGGCATCTGTCCAGGAGTGGGTAGATTGATGCCTTCATTGTGATGAGTGAAGTGTCTTCCTGGCTGCCCAGTGTAAGGGACAGCATTTCATCCCTCTACTTTGCATTCTGCATTTTCCTTTCCTTCCCAAGATCTTCTTCTGTTTTCCTGCCTCTCCCGAGGATACAATACTTCTTTCCTGTCTTTGAAGGGTACCTGTTTGTCTGCTGTGTGACCAAGGATATGGTTTTTTTCAGGCATCAAAAACATCATCATCATCATTAGCCTTCCGGAACGCCACTCCCTATGGAGAAGCAATTATAGGACGAAGGATCTCTCAAACACATAATAGCAACCTTCCGTTCTTTAATACTTGGTTATTTTTCAATTACTTCATAATTACTTTGGTTTTTTGGAACACGTTGTCGCAACCTTTGGTTATATTTCACTTACACTTACTTTTGATTATTTGTTTCTATCCTGTCCTTCTCCACACTCCAGTAAGGAATGGGAGGTGCAATTTTACTGCTCTGTGAGTGTTTAGAAGGACAAAGCGTTCCAAATGTTTGCTCCTGGGGTAGATGGATCCCTGGAAGTAGTTGGAGGAGGAGATGTTGGAGGAGGACAGCTGGCAAACAAAGCAGTCCAAATGGTCACTCATGGCAGGGGGGGATTATCTCCAGATGTTGGGAGGATTAATCCCCCTGGGAGGTGTCGAAGGAGGTGGTCAGGTGGTCAAGTAAGATCCATGAACAGTAACTCGTGGGGGGGGGGGCGACGACAAGCAAATAGTGGTAAATGAGAAATTTAATTTTTTGAAATTAAGAGAGGTCTGCTCTAGAAATACGAATTTTCCCCACTCAGGCAGCAATTTTTTTCTCCTTGTAATATTTAATTTAATCTCACCCAGCTGTGCTCACCTGGT